CCAGATTTGCCTAGTTATAACAACTTCCCATGGTAAATCATGCCCACTGCTCTAGTAAAAAGACTAATGAATAGGAAGCTATAATTGCCAGACCGGATTGTTATGCATATAAATCATATATATATATATATATCCTTCTACTGGGACAAAGATATGTGAGCTGAGATCTTGACTAAAGCATAATTTATTTCCTTAAATAGCACGTCTCACCCAGAACCTCTCGCTCAGCAATTAGTTTTGAGACAAAACTAACTGTCTGAGATTGTGACATTTAGTGGTATGTCTAGACACGTTCACCCTATCACAGTTTGAATTAGGAACCTCGTAATCAAATCACTGAACCATAGTTCTGAGAAAATTCATATGATCAGTTTATTGAAAATGACAGTTGGGAAGTTATAACTTCAAATCATATAATACAACAAGCTACGCATTAGAAGGTAATGACTAACATTATATTATCATCCTCAGAATCTTGTTCAACTCAACCGAGTTACTGGCAACAAAAAGTCTGAAGTCAATGAAGCAATCAGTGAATTTGATGGAATCCCAATCAATGATATCTGCCGACGTCTTGAAGGATGAGCATAGTTTATGAGTAGAACACAAAGAGATGCCTAACATCCTGAACTTAAAGAGGCCAGGTTTCACAAACATAACTCAAACCTGCTCTCACCGATATGTTGTGAATTCGACTTTTTATAACCAGACTGACAGAGACCACTCTGGATTTCATTATACGTGAAATGATTTCATCAGTTGTACAGCCAAAAACCCTTTACACAACTACGTAAATATACAAACCTTTTGATTGTTCACTATATCAAGAGTAAGTGAAAGAATACGCATCTACCACTCTTATAAAAGAACTTTGTACTTAAAAGGTATAAATCATGTGTTACGTTTTCAAATCAAGATTATGTCTGTATTCATTATCTAACCAATAACTTCACAGAAATTATTCAACAATAGAAAAGCTAAATAAGCTTTCTTTAAAGAAAATAACTGAACAGGAAAAAAGGCGAACTACATTTTTTTGTTGTTGTTGAATAAATGGAATATGTGAAATAGAGTTTCTGAAGAAATCACTAACTAGATCATCAATAAAATTACTAATCAATGGTAGTTAGGAATATACATATCCAGTGTATTGAATAAGCCAGAGCATTCTTTACAAATAACGATTGTGTTTAGATATGTAGTTTGTGGATAATGATGGATAATATATCAAAATCAACTTGGAGCATTGAATAAGTGTTTTATCCTTATATATGGGATTTACCAACAGCACATATCAGCGACCTCGGTGGAGCTTGAACACAGGATATTCAAATCTCTCGGCGGAATGATAGGGATGCACATACACACTCAAAGAACTGCAGCTCGTGAGTTTGAATCTGATGTGATTTTAAGTGTGTGTGTGTGTGTGTATCCATCCACAGTAGTTGGAGTAGACCATACTACGCAATTTAGTAATCTATAGACTATTTATACTACTCTCATTTGTACAGTTATTGGCTATTAAATATATGATATGTGTTATCATAATGTGAAATTTGTCATTCAACCGTATTCCTAATCATACAATTTAGTCATTAGACTAGGCGAATGGTAGATGTTTACTAAGACAGCTTATTTCACTAATTTCACGTTTGGTTTGTCAATGGATACGGTATATACTACGAAGGACATACTTTTATGCTATCATAATTACTAATCATGAAAACTACTATACGGAACTATAGTATGGTTATTACTAGTTGTTACTGTTGTTCATGTCGGATAATATATTTCAGACATATAAGTTAAACAAGATAGGAAATTCTAATGAATTCATGATTGGGGATTTAAAACAACTACTCTTTATTTCACCTTTCCACTCAGTTCCACAGTCATCAAACAATAATAAATATGTGGATCATTGAAATGATGTATGTAAGACATGATTAATTCACTTTTATTATTGATTTCATTCTGTAATATTCCAAAGATTAACGATTATTCAAAGAACTCTATTTGAATAGTTTATCACTTGTATAGATTTTATTGTATTTGCCATACGAAATGTTAATAACGATATGAATGTTAAATACGAAAGTGTCATGCTCAATTGATTTTGTAGCGTGGCGTCGAGTTGAGATTAACTATGAACACCGCTACAAAGAAACACGTGCCAAGCGAATCAGAAGGCGTAAGAAGCTCGTTCCAAATGACTCCATAAAATCCCCGAGAAGCCGAATACCAGAAGGCAATTAATGGACCAAATCGAGGTTTATTAGCTGGCGATCTCGTGGCATCGAAAGGATACCGAGATCGTGCGAGGATACAACCTTGGTTACAGAAGGTAACCGAATTCGCGCGAAGTTACAATCGAAGTGTAAGCGAAAGAGTGGAAGCAGAAAATAGCTGTCATTAGCACAGTCAAACAAAAGCACGTTAAAACAAACACTGGTACAGTTGGTTATAATAATAATTGTTTTTATTAAACCAGTCGTGTTCTCGTGATAAACGTGAGTCACTACAATTTCAATCGGTTTACTAATTCCTACAAGAAAGCATTCAAACAAGGAATCGATGTCTTATAGTTAGATGGTTTCACAAACCATTTTATATTTCTCAATAACACGTAGAGTCATGTTAAGTAAATTTGATATTCTTTGAATGATATAAGCATATTTAATGCATTCACTGTCTAGGTTTACATGTGGTTACAAAATTTAATTCTTTGGATGATTCTAGAGTATATCCAATTTACTGAAAACACAACCCTAGTTCCTTACAATATCTGAATCTGATTTTAGTAAAACCACTCTTGTCTGTGTTATAACCAAGTGAAGATTCAATTACGAGTAATTTCTGAGAACTATTAATGAACTAATATTATATATACATTGCTATTGTATATTTGTTCAGTAACTAGATTATGTATACCTGTATTCATCTAATTATAAGCTTCATTTTGACCTGTAGACTATTATGATACAATTTATTGTTCTTAAGTTATATTCAGTTTATTGATTACAGTCTCCCATGTTCATAGCCACTTTTTGGCATGACTATGTATAAATGCTATTTCCTATTTTATGGTGTGATATAGTCTGTTTGGCTAGTATATAAATCAAATATGTTTGAAGTAAATGAATCGTATAGTGGAAGCTGTTACTGGTGTTCTGGACTCAACTGACAGGATGCTAGGAGGACAAAAAACCAAGAAGGACGCTAAGCTGTTCATGCCGGTCGAAAGTCATTGGCTTAACACAATTCTAAAATTGAATAAGTCATATCTCGATTGGTGAATAAATCACGTGATAACTAGCCGGGCTTAAAGTCACAACACTCTGTAACCACTAGTCCTAGATATTACGCAGACCTCAACTAGGTCAGTCTACATTCAACAAAATGGCTAAAACTAACAGTTCATAACTTCATGAACTGATATCATTTTCCGCTTTCTTCTAACTGCATCACGAGACAAGCCCTAACTTGGAATCCTGAAGGAAGGCGGAAAAGAGGAAGGCCAAAGAACACATTACGTCAGAAAATAAAAGCAGATATGAAAAGAATGAATAACAACTGGAAGGAGCTGGAAAGGATTGCCCAGGACAAGGTTGGATGGTGAATGCTAGTGAGCGGCCTAATGTTCCTTCACAAGGAGTAACAGACGTAAACAAGTTAAGCAATAAAAAGATTCTATATTTTCAGTAAATTAATCAAATAGAACTATCACTTCCATATTCTAAATCGATAAGTTAACCCACTTTGTATAGGAGAACCAATCTTTAACAAGTCAGTCGATAATAAAAAGAAAAAAAAAAGAACAATCAAAACGAAGATATCGGTAAGACCCAAGGATGAACGTCAGTCAGGTGTAACTTTTATCAGTCAGTCAGTCAGTAACAACGTAGAACTTCGTACGTACGTACATCAGTTCGAGTTGCCACACCACATAATACTCAACATTTGAGAATGAAAACAAGAGCAATGAGAAAACAATGAGATTTATGTGTTTAATACATTATTCTAGAAAAACAAGATTAATTATTACAACTTGTATAAGGGAAAATTAAAAAATAGTTAACTATGAATGAATCTTTTGTTTAGTTTAATAATTGAATCATTTAAACAACTTCAATTAATTCTTGTGGTATAAATCAAATATGTTTGAAGTAAATGAATCGTATAGTGGAAGCTGTTACTGGTGTTCTGGACTCAACTGACAGGATGCTAGGAGGACAAAAAACCAAGAAGGACGCTAAGCTGTTCATGCCGGTCGAATGTCATTGGCTTAACACAATTCTAAAATTGAATAAGTCATATCTCGATTGGTGAATAAATCACGTGATAACTAGCCGGGCTTAAAGTCACAACACTCTGTAACCACTAGTCCTAGATATTACGCAGACCTCAACTAGGTCAGTCTACATTCAACAAAATGGCTAAAACTAACAGTTCATAACTTCATGAACTGATATCATTTTCCGCTTTCTTCTAACTGCATCACGAGACAAGCCCTAACTTGGAATCCTGAAGGAAGGCGGAAAAGAGGAAGGCCAAAGAACACATTACGTCAGAAAATAAAAGCAGATATGAAAAGAATGAATAACAACTGGAAGGAGCTGGAAAGGATTGCCCAGGACAAGGTTGGATGGTGAATGCTAGTGAGCGGCCTAATGTTCCTTCACAAGGAGTAACAGACGTAAACAAGTTAAGCAATAAAAAGATTCTATATTTTCAGTAAATTAATCAAATAGAACTATCATTTCCATATTCTAAATCGATAAGTTAACCCACTTTGTATAGGAGAACCAATCTTTAACAAGTCAGTCGATAAAAACAAAAAAGAAGATATCGGCAAGACCCAAGGATGAACGTCAGTCAGGTGTAACTTTTATCAGTCAGTCAGTCAGTCAGTAACAACGTAGAACTTCATACGTACGTACATCAGTTCGAGTTGCCACACCACATAATACTCAACATTTGAGAATGAAAACAAGAACAATGAGAAAACAATGAAATTTATATGTTTAATACATTATTTTAGAAAAGATTAATTATTACAACTTGTATAAGGGAAAATTAAAAAATAGTTAACTATGAATGAATCTTTTTTTTTGTTTTTAGTTTAATAATTGAATCATTTAAACAATTTCAATTAATTCTTGTGGTAATGAATTTTTTGGATGTTTATTTTCAAAATGTTGTTTATATGTTTTAATATCAGGTACTTGTGTTTTACATATAGGACAAGTATAATGTAGTGCTTTAGCAGCAGCTTTTTTTGAATCTATAGTAGGTTTTTTTAAATCAGCTTGCTTTTTAGCATTTCTTTGTTGACTTTGTATTTTTTGTTGACCACGTGCCATAGTTTTAATACTAAAAAAAAAAAGGATAAAGGTAAAAAAAGAACACAATGAAATAACTAGAGGTTAATTAACAGTAAGTTGATAGTTGAAAATTTGTGTTTGTTTAGTTGAAAGTTACTGAGAAATGAGCATCATGTAGTATTTGTGACGATTGATTATTGTGATTATTTGAACACGAATATTGGTAAAAGTATACGCCAATTATATATATACGCTACACAATAACAATGAGGTTGTGGGGGAGATAGAGAATGTAAAGTGAGTATAATTAACAACAAAAAAAACAACAATGAACAAGAATTAGTGAATGAGAACGAAATAATAATAATAATGGAAGAAACAGTTCAATTAGGAAAAATACAACCACAAAGAATTCTTTCAGTTAAAGGACCTCCTGGTTCACTTATCAACTTACAATACGCAGATGACATAGTCCTGTTTGGTGAAGACGCTGACAAAATGCAGAGTCTTCTGGTAGCACTGAGCAACGATGCCAGAATGTTTGGAATGCGCTACTCTCCCTCTAAATGCAAGTTGTTGCTTCAGGACTGGTCTGCGTTAACACCTGAACTAAGGATAGGGAGTGAAGTAGTCGAACGCGTTGACAACTTCACTTATCTTGGAAGTCTAATCAGCCCTAATGGGTTGGTATCGGACGAAATCTCAGCACGGATTCGAAAAGCTCGATTGGCTTTTGCCAACTTACGTCACCTATGGCGAAGGCGAGATATCCGTCTATCAATAAAAGGACGAGTATACTGCGCGGCAGTCCGTTCTGTTTTAATTTACGGCAGCGAAACATGGCCACTAAGAGTAGAAGACACTCGTAAGCTATTAGTATTTGACCACAGATGTCTTAGAAATATTGCTGGCGTCTGCTGGGATCACCGGGTAAGTAATAGTGAGGTTAGACGCAGGGTATTAGGAAATCATGGTAAATAAGTCGACGAGGTTGTGAATGTTCATCGACTGAGATGGTTGGGCCACGTGTTACGTATGCCTGAACACCGATTACCACGACGCGCAATGCTATCCGGTATTTGAAATGGTTGGAAGAAAGTTAGGGGCGGCCAAACCAAAACGTGGCATCAGTGCTTGAAGTCACTAACTTCTAGTCTGAGCCATGTTGGTAGATGCAGACTACTTGGTTGGGGTCCGCGTGACTATCGTAACCAATGGTTGGAGACTCTTGGTGACATGGGTCAGAATCGATCACAATGGCATCGGTGTATACACTCCCTGTCTTCCCTTAAACTAAGAGATTAAAATCGCTTCATATCTTTCTTTCTACGAACCAATTCTTTCTTCTTGTACTATATCTCTATATGCAATCTTTCTCTTATATATTACTACCTTTGACCTAACCACTACTATGAATCCGGTGTTCATCTTGTTGTGCTGATGCGGTATGGCAACCTGAACCGATGCACATATGTGCCTGGTCCTACGTTGTAGCTGACTGACTGACTGACTGACTGAAAGGAGTTACGTTTGCATTTATGAACAAAGTAAAAGAAATGTACAGTACGATCGCCACTGGCTTCTATTCTCAAACGTATCTGATATAGAGGATCCGCCTAGAGGAGTTGGAAAATCTCCATTCCAAACCAATGGTGCACATGATCTGCAGGATCTTGAGGGAACAAATGGCGTATAAACCAATTGTTGATCACCGAGAACCTATCTTCTAACGTCTCTCAACTGTCTAGTAGACTATATCTCTAGGTCAAAGGCTAGGGGAGTAGTCCTCTAAGAGAACTGCTTGTTTCGGTTTGGGCGCCTGGGAAGTATCACAAACCTTACAAACAGATCAAGTGGTGTGGCGCAGATATATTTGGTGTCCCTTTGTACCGATGTTTGATTTCAAATAAATAATGATGCTTGAAGACCATATACATGAATGAGAAACGATCGTAAAAAGAAAACTCTCATGTGTTGTAAAGGCTGCTATTATTCTTATATCAGTTCTTGGTCAGTACTAAAGTACAAACCATATCTAGTTAAGCCTAAAATGATGCCTTTTTTTTCTAAAGTATTGTGAAGCGGTGATTTAGTGGCTAAGGAGTTCGACTTATGAACACAAGTTCGAATCCCGCTCCGACTAGGTTGACTAGCAAATAGATGGTATTACTAGTCCTTACACTTCATATGTGCTTCATAAACAAATACCTAGTGAACGAGGCAATTTAATTTAAAAGATTACTTTGCATTTTAAAGTATCCATATTTGTTATCAAAAATATTATTTCTAATAAACTGCGACTAACAATAGATACGATAGATTTGAAATTGTCTCTAACCCATGCCCGTTATGTAACGTTTCCCGAAGTGAAAATCTGAAATCTGAAACACAAATCATGAACTGTGGTCCGGTTGTCCTTTTTCGCTATAATCATCCACTAATACTCGTAATCAATGGTTGATGAAGTTACTTTTGACTGTGCTGAGTAAAATTATTGCGGGGAGCTAAACATCGTAAAACATCTAACAATGGCAATTAATATTAGGTTCAGATAAAACGGAAGCTGAAGTAATGGATAACTGGAGAAACGACAATACAAAGATTCAATACAGCCTTCCTTCGACATACTGAAAAATTCAACGAATTCAAGATAACTCTGAACAACAAGTTCCAAGCCTTATGAGATTTACTCAAAGAAGAAACTACTATGTAGGACAACTGAAAAGGTATTGAGGCAGCACTCACTTCAACCTGTTAGCAGGATCTGGGCAACAAGAAACATCCTTATAAAGAATGGATCACTATCGAAACCGTAAACAAGATTCAAAAAGAGAAGAACAAGAAGACAGCAATTAACAACAGCCGAACAACAGAGAAAGTCGAGACCCGCTCCAAACACACAGAAGCTAACATGAACGTCAAGAACATTAGAGCCGACAAGCAGAAATATGTGAAAAACGTAGCAACGACAATGGAAAAAACTGTAAGAGAAAGAAATATGAAACAATATATGACACGACGAAGAAACCGACAACGAAATATAGTAAACCAGAGAGACTAGTCAAGGACAAGAAAGCCAATCACTGAAATTCGGAAACAGAGGGACATATGGGTGAGACACTTCGATGAACTCTGGAATAGACCAATTCCACTAAATCCACCAGATATCAGACCAGCACCTACAGACCTTCCTGTATATATGTGTATAATATGTATAATATAATATATGAAGTCTGCTTATGTTCGTATCTATAATTATTACTGTTATTATTGTCATTATTGGTCCCCCAACATATTAGATATTCTTTTTATCTCTTCTTATCCTTCTAAACATATTTAATCCCTGATTGTCCTTTGAAATTAATTGTGACTTTCATAGCATCATTCTTAATTATTATTGCACAAATGTTTATAATAATATCCGGTTTCACTCTGTATATTATTACATAAATCTACATGTGCAGTAAAGGATTTATTTTATTTTTCTAAATTGTTGGTTTACTTCAGAGGTCGATATTCATTGCACAATTATTATTATTATTATTATTATTATTATCATGGTTGAACCCTTTCATTTGGTGTTCATTTCCTTTCTCTCTCTTTTTTCCATCTAAATAAATATTATTGCTAACTTTACAAAGTTTTTGACAGACAGCAATTTGTGTTACACTTAAATTAACTTCTCAGACTCGTTTTATCTTCACTATGCATATATAACTCATACATATTGATATTTCATTAACCGTTTCACTTAATTGAGACTTTCGTAGCGTCACTCCAAACTGTGACTCCACAAACATTTGTTCTAGCGTCATATCTTACTGAAATAATGAGTTATTTTTTCTTAATTATTTTCTATTTTATTTTATTTTTTGAACTAATTTCACGATACATACATGGTCGTTTATTCTTGTTCTGGGTTCATAAACACGCCTATTAAACTGTTCGCTTATTTCACGTCTCCTTTATTTCCATTTCCTTATTTACTTCCTTTCCTTCTTTGAACTTAATTCAATGTTCTTCTCAATTACACATAACCTGATTTATTATTATTCTATTATTATTATTCTCTTTTTCAAATATGGCAAATATAATGCTAACATTATTGAAACTTATGCATTATTGCATTTGTGAAGAAACCATTTTGGGTTTCTTCACCAAACTTACGTACCCATAAGATGTTTGTGAATAACAATAATATAGCCGTCACTCCACCAACGATCGAAGAAATCAGCATGGCCACCAGACAGATCAATAGTGGGAAAGCAGTAGGACCTGAAAACATACCAGTTGAAACACTGAAGTCAGACACAACAGTAACTGTAAAGAGCCTACACGTTCTGTTAAGAAGGATTTGGGACGAAGAACACGTGCTGGAAAGAAGGATAGTTGATGAAGATGCGAAAGAAATGAAATGTGAGCAAGGGAGCCGCTGGGTCCAGGGGCCTGTGGCGCAATGGATAACGCGCCTGACTACGGATAAGGAGATTCCAGGAAGATTTGGAATATTCCACGTGCCTGTGCAGCATCATCGATAAACAGAGAGGATCTGATACATACATTAAGGCAAGGTTGAGCAAAGCAAGGACAACATTTCTACGGTTGAATAAAATATGGAACTCAAAACGACTGTCAGCCAATATCAAAGCGAGAATCTTCAATACGAACGTCAAGGTAGTTTTACTGGATGGAGCTGAAAACCAGAGAACTACCAAAACCATAACCAAAAATGTAAGTGTTAACAAACTATTGTCTACACAAGACACAATGTCTATTGGCCGGACTAACTTGGAATCCTAAAGGGAAAAGGAAAGGAGGAAGAGCAAGGAACCCGTAACTGGAAGCAAACATCAGAAGAATGATTAAATGGGAACAATTGGAAAGGATTACCCTCGATGCAGAATCCTGGTGGGCAGTCTATGTTTGTACACAAGGGGTAACAGGAATAAGTAGGTATGTAATATTGGATGCACTAACCGAATCAGTCTAGTGAAATTCAATGCGCTCACGCTGCTGCATACATTACCAACAACCTGTGTAAGACTTCACCAAATTCAGTTAGATCTTTGACTATTCGTTTGATTTCACTTGTTTTATTCCTACTTTCTACACCTCCCACGAAATTCTGTTCCATCTTGTTTTAGTATTACGTTCAAGTCTTTCTGCTTTACTAAGATAGTAGCTACTGTTGTTAGATGACTACAAACAAAAACCATGCTTGTATTTACATTGCGTAGACTGCTTAAAGTTCGTCAAATCTCAGAACTTTGTTTATGACAAACTTATTTAACTTACGGGCAGTCACAGTAGCACTATATAAAAGAAATAATGCAGACTTTCAGTCATTTGTTCTTAAAGCGAAAATCAAAAATATACCTGAATTAACCGCATACTGTGAAACTTGTTTGTTATTTCGCTGATATAGTGTGTAGTGAGTTGGACCAACATAAATTTCTCTTAAGTGACATTTCAGTTATGACTAATCCGTACAAACTGAGTGTCTAAGTACAAAGTCCGGATGCTTAACACATTATTAAGGACTTTGCATGCATCAATACAAAATGCCCCTGACTTATGCAAAGATTTTTGGTTTAAAAGATGCTACAATATTCTGCATTTGAAGTTTGTCACACTGATCACAAAAAGGCCACATAAAGTCCATAAGTTCTAAACTTCGTAAAATAGAGTTAAGGTCTAAGTGGCATGAAATTTATGGACGGATTTTGGGTGACACTAGAGCAGCCTTGTAATACTTAAAACTAGGACGAAAATAAATAGGGTCATCGATCAGTTTGAATTAAGATAAGGTGTAAAAGTTAGATGTGGGTGGGAATTATGGTGTTTTTATCATGAACTGAGTGCTATTGAGTCATGTGGAGGGGTTTATTTTGCGGATAAATCTAGCAGTTAACTGTTGGATAATATAACAACTGTTATAATGAATCTGAATGATTGTCGCATATATTACAGTCTATAGCTATTGACCATATTACAATAATAATACACATGGGTATGGAAAAAGAGAACCATTTATGTGTACCGAACCAAGGTATAACAAAGACTGAAACATGTTGCAGTCAGAGTAAAATAGTCAAGAATATAATAAACAATATTTTGCTCAATAACACCGCATACAAACATCGAAAACACTTTTGGAGAACGATAATTAAAATAACAGTGACAAGCCTAATTCAGTAACTACTTAGTTTCGGGATTAAAAACTACATTACACTTCGCAAGAATAGATTTACACAAACCTTGACCTTCAATCCTTAACTAGCCGCCTTTTGATCCAATATCTTTGTGACGAGCTTGTATAAACTGATTCAATTTTTAGGCTAGCTTCTTATGCTTTCCGTAGGGTTCCAAGTTTTACTTAACGTTTAACGGACAGCAGTCTAGACACCCGACTACACTAGTTCTAGTTTGTTTGCTAATTATAAGTTAGCTTGTATATCATGTCCATGTTTACAGATAACAATGATATTCTCATTACATGTTTTATCTTGATATACATCTCGGATTGTAGCAATTATAGTCGGAGTTACTGACTAACTGACGTCCAGTATAGGTTTCTTGTGTGTATAATTTAGATTCAACATATTAACAGATTACATTTCTTTCGTAATAATTTTGACATTAATTTTGAAATTTATATATTTTGGTTCACCATAAAAGAAACAGCTGAATAAGCTGACTAATTAGTAATGCAAAGTGTGAGGGGAACGAAGTGTGAGAATAAAAGGAGGAACAAAGAGGGTAGTAAGCGTAGCAGAAAGTAGTTATTAATATGTGATAATGATAATGTAGGTATGTTATGAGATTCCCATTCAGATTTGTGTAGTAAGAGCAGAAGGCCTACGGCCAATGTTATTCCCCTTCTAGTATGCTTCTGTGAGTGTCCAGTCTCTTCTTTAAAGAGTTAATTGAAGGTGCGGACACCACTGCTTTGGGTAGCAGGTTCCAAATATTGATGACTCGGTGTGAGGACCCGTATGTCACGGGTGTTTTGTTAGTTCTTGGGTACTTTCGTGTACAGGATAACCCCGCCCCCCCCTAGGGATTAATCTATCAGCCCTACTGAATAAAACACCAGTCAACTGAATTTCATTATCTAATACGCCTGACGTTAACCAAGTTTCTGAGACAACAACCACATCCGGTTTTTCTTTATCCACCACTGACCTGAGCTCCTCCATTTTATTTGATAGGCCACGAGCATTTGTGTAGCATACCTTTAAGTCAGATTACCAGGATTCTCCTTGGAATTCTGTCCTGGTTAATTCTATCCAATTGTTTGAAGCGCTAATTATTCTTCTGGTGTTTACTCCCAGTTCCAGGTTCAATGTGTTCCTTAATTTTCCTCTTTTTTGTGACAACTTACATCGATTGGCTAAGAGTCAACGTCAAGCATCTATCCCGTTCATAATATACTAATATGGTGGTCATCTACCACATTTCAGACCTAATACAAACATAATTTTGCACCGGTAGAAATAGACACTGTTATGAATACGAACGTCATACTCTTAGAATTCGATCGTAGTGACGTCGAGTTGTGGTTCACCCAACTAGAATATTATTTCACGAAACACAACATAAATTCTGTGGGGACTTGCTACTGGGATTTATGCTCCGTCTCTCCTTCTCCATTAGGGTGCTGGAATCAAACTTGCGTTCTTTCGATTATGAAGCTGGTTGAACCGATATTCTTACGGGAGTCGGTTGTAGGAGGAATCTGATGCAAGAACTTAAGTTGTGGCTAGGAGTTAATTAAAGGCATCTTTTTAATATTATTACATTATAGTTCTAGTATTTATTTACTTCTTTGCTTTTCATGGGCACTTTATTTCGTGTAATAATAATAATAAATTTTCAAATAACAGTCTGTGACATGAGGCGTGCCAGTTTACAGGCAAAATCAAGTTGTTACAGCAGTTACAGTCTTCACTGTAGTAGGTTACTCGGACAATTTAATATTTTATAAGGTATGTCGGTCATGGAGATATGAACAACAACAATTCTCGCATGTTAATGTAAATAATATTAATAAGATTCGTACTGTTAATATGATGGTCGGCGCGATGTATAGAGGTTGGGTTGCGAAGTCCAACTGGTGGTCAAAAATAAATCCACGTTAAGTTGCAAGCTTCTAGAGACCGTGACCATATATCCCTCTGGAACATCTGAGGCAATAATGATGACGCGGAATGAAGTCACCTATTGCATATATGTTTTCGTTGGCATATCTCGAGGGCGACCGAAAAGAAGAGAAATAAAAAGAGAGGGAGAGAAGCACAGCAGACAGTGTTCATCCTTATCGAAGTTGAGTAATTGGTGTAGGAATAGCCAAGGTATGGCTACTTAGTCTGATTCTCTTTTTTAAGTTACTTTTCATGTGTAGTGTGGCGTCGAGTTGGAATTAACTATGAACACCGCTACCAAGAAACACGTGCCAAGTAAATCAGAAGGCGAAGGTTGAACGTAACTAATTAAATCCATAAAATCCCCGAGAAGCCAAATATCAGAAGACACTTAATGGACCAAATCGAGATATATTCGCTGGCGATCTCGTGTTATCGGAAGGATACCGAGATCGTGTCAGGATACAAGCTTGGTTGCAGAACGTAACCGAATTCGCGCGAGGTCACAATCAAAGTGTGAGAATAAGAATGGAAGCACAATACAGCTGTCATTAGCACAGTCAAACAAAAGCACATTAAAACAAACACTGGTACAGTTGGTTATAATAATAATTGTTTTTATTAAATCAGTCGTGTTCTCGTGATAAATGTGAGTCACTACACATGAAAGAGCATTCCAATAGGTTAAAGAAAATAAGCATAATTAAGTTATGAGTGGGCAAAAAATCGTATTCATGGAGACGGTCCATGAAAAGTCGAAAGTTGTGTATTAAGCGTAGTTTTAAAATATTGTGATGAAAACAGTACCCTTGCGCACTTTTCGAACGGGAAGTTTAGTCCTAGCATGGTTTGCATGTCTCAAACTGTTGCTGTGTACTCAGGCAACAAATGTACCATTACCGAACTAAAGAATCTGTTTTGAGCTATACGTTAGATAGGTTACTTTTATTTTTGAGTTTTAACAAATTAGTAGTCAACTGTGGATTTGCCTCAGCACAATATTCGGTTTTTAAGTTTTCAAAGTCAAGGCTAGTTTCAGTTTATCCTTATATTTTGTACCACTACTTTTTATCCATTTCATCCGTTATTAGTATACTGTTTTTTACGGTCATAGGTTTTGCTAGGATAAGGCATGCAAGCGAAGAAAAACATAAGAGCCGATAAGCAGAAATATGTGAAAAACGTAGCAACGACAATGGAAAAAACTGTAGGAGAAAGAAATATGAAACAATTTATGACACGACGAAGAAACCGACAACGAAATATAGTAAACCAGAGAGACTAGTCAAGGACAAGAAAGCCAATCACTGAAATTCGGAAACAGAGGGACATATGGGTGAGACACTTCGATGAACTCTGGAATAGACCAATTCCACTAAATCCACCAGATATCAGACCAGCACCTACAGACCTTCCTGTATATATGTGTATAATATGTATAATATAATATATGAAGTCTGCTTATGTTCGTATCTATAATTATTACTGTTATTATTGTCATTATTGGTCCCCCAACATATTAGATATTCTTTTTATCTCTTCTTATCCTTCTAAACATATTTAATCCCTGATTGTCCTTTGAAATTAATTGTGACTTTCATAGCATCATTCTTAATTATTATTGCACAAATGTTTATAATAATATCCGGTTTCACTCTGTATATTATTACATAAATCTACATGTGCAGTAAAGGATTTATTTTATTTTTCTAAATTGTTGGTTTACTTCAGAGGTCGATATTCATTGCACAATTATTATTATTATTATTATTATTATTATCATGGTTGAACCATTTCATTTGGTGTTCATTTCCTTTCTCTCTCTTTTTTCCATCTAAATAAATATTATTGCTAACTTTACAAAGTTTTTGACAGACAGCAATTTGTGTTACACTTAAATTAACTTCTCAGACTCGTTTTATCTTCACTATGCATATATAACTCATACATATTGATATTTCATTAACCGTTTCACTTAATTGAGACTTTCGTAGCGTCACTCCAAACTGTGACTGCACAAACATTTGTTCTAGCGTCATATCTTACTGAAATAATGAGTTATTTTTTCTTAATTATTTTCTATTTTATTTTATTTTTTGAACTAATTTCACGATACATACATGGTCGTTTATTCTTGTTCTGGGTTCATAAACACGCCTATTAAACTGTTCGCTTATTTCACGTCTCCTTTATTTCCATTTCCTTATTTACTTCCTTTCCTTCTTTGAACTTAATTCAATGTTCTTCTCAATTACACATAACCTGATTTATTATTATTCTATTATTATTATTCTCTTTTTCAAATATGGCAAATATAATGCTAACAACAGTCGCAACTCCTCCCAGTTACGCGTAGCAGACCCCTCTCACGCTAACCTAAATAGCCATAACAGGGGCCACGAGTCTAACCATCACGTCTATTTTGTAAATAACCATACACTTCACAGTAGGCCTGTACAAGATTTTTTTGGAATAAGACCCCTAGCGACACCTCTGTTGAAGCATATAGCCCAGGTTATTTCAAACCACATGCAAACCATAAATTTTTTTCCTCCGTACAGTTTCCATCAGAGAGTACTCCCACCCTTTCCTCCTGGGTAAACTCCCCAATCAACTTCACTAGCTCATTTGATACATCTCCCACTAAGTCTTGCTATCAAAACACCGAGCTAATGAAGAACATCCAATCCCTCACATCAAACTCATCTCACACCCGCGAGGGTTACGATGACTTTATCCGAGATACCCTCACCCATTTGAACTTAGTAGGCCACTTGCTTAATATATGTCTTACCAACGCTCGATCGATCTGCAACAAAAAGACGGATTTAGCACTGTTTGTATCCATATACCAACCATCACTTATTATGATATCTGAAGCATGGACGAACAGTAATATTTCCGACCGAAGTATATCTCTTGATAACTATTTTCTGTATAAAGGCGATCGATTGAATGGACGAGGCGGAGGACGCCTTATTTACGCTCGCTCTAGCCCAAACTCACTGCTATGTGATATGCCTGAACTAAACAAACTGAAGGATTCGGTGTGGGTTGTATTAAAGCCGTCGAATTCCGTTACCTTACTGCTTGGCTGTGTTTATCGTCAACCTAACGCATCAATATATGAAATAGCATTATTATCGGAGGTATTCACTCTAGCATCATCCCTCTCATTCACAGGCAAGCTCATTTGTGGTGACTTCAATATGCCCGAAATTTCTTGGCTGCCAGTCAAAGCGCCGAGACGCTATGAATCATTTATTGAATGTCTAGAGCTTGGACAATGGA